CTTCAGATTACGAGCTTTTCTTCTGGAAGCCGAAACACGAACGTCGGTGAGCAGCAGCCTGGAGAAAAAAGGGATAGGCAGATTTTCCTTTTGATAGTAATCATGCGGATAAGTGTAGTACAGAGCAAGACAATGCATTACCATCTGACCAAGAAGTTTTAGGTGCTTAGCGGTTTACATGATCAACTTGGAGCAGACGATGACACTGTTCTGATGAGTGACTCTGAGAGTTACCTGTTTGCACTTATTATCAGTGTCTGTACAATAATACAGAAAAAGTTGGACTACATGTCAGCCATGAAAAAGGGTGATGAATGGCCAGCTGTAGCCATCGCGTTGGTGATCAAATCTATGGTAGGACCGAGGATAATGTTGACCTGTTCAAATACTTAAGTTGAGTTATTGCGAACGATTTAAGCTGCGACTTATACGTTTACTAACGCATTAAATTTGCAGCAGCAAACTTTGCCAGGCTGCATGAACTGTAGAACGGCTACTCAATATCAGAGAAGATGATGGTTATCGTTTTGACAGCAGCGGTTTTCTCCAGGTAGTCCTGAGACGCCAAGAATATCATCTGAAGAGCTTCCAGGAGATCTATACGCGCAACACCTTCAAATTCCAGATATATCATCGACTGACGAACTATCACACCCAGAACCGCCAGGTTAAATAGTCTCCATAAAGAGACCTGATTGGCCGGTAACCATACTGGAAAGACTGATTCGTATCTTAGGTCTATAAAATGTCTCCACGCAAACCATCAAAGAATCTTCCTATTGGAACCGACCCCGACCCCTCCAAAAAGGTGATTGGTTGAAATGTTGGGTAAGCCTATTTTTAGCTGATTTGCTCGCGGCGAAGAGTATGCCGTTTGACGTAGCACCTAATGCTCATAGTAATTCTTTGTGCATGTCTCATATCATTAATCTGGGATAAACGAAGCTTTTGAGCTGTCGATCTCCGGATAACTATGACAAACTATAGCACTGACGATGGTGATTTTGCTGAAGACGGATAATCATTGGAAATGTTAATCAGCGAAATGAACTACGAATTGCCTGATGAGTTGCAGAATAACTGGCATGCTACTGATGTTAGGTATAATTGAGGATTTGGGTTACTCGGGATTGGAACAGCTACGAGTTGACTGTAAGGTCAAGAGCGAGGACAGAGTTACAAGGATTAGGAAAATCAGAGATTATGGAATATATATTTATCACGTATACCTTTGCATTTTCTCATGTTTGGTATGTTTACGAAGCACATTTTCAATTATGAAGCAACGGGGAAGTGATAAGTTGTTCCTTACAATTAGCAGCACTTCCTTATATCAAGCGTACTATGACGTTACCATTCTCGAAGATTTTCATGGCAAACAATCCGTTATTTCTACAAAACTGCTTTAACTTCATGCTCTTAAGGTCGCTAGTACCGTTCAGATTGTTAAGATCTAGTGCTCTTCTTCTCAATCGTATGTTTTCACTTTTAATTGTCTGCTTTTACATGTTCATTGTAGTTGTCCATTTAAAATATAATTTCGTAGCCACTACATTTTTCGGAGCACCTTCTACTTTATGCATGAAAGATTCATATTGTCTTTAAATCTCTCTGTAAGAAAGCTAATGCTTTCACCTGTTGCGGCTCCAATCGAGGCAATACCAGTCGTCCGCAGACTTCAATTGCCGATTCTGATAGCCAGGTTGTGTCCTATCAGAACACCACCACCTGCCTGAGCGCGTATCGTGATATCAGTTCTTGAATAGAATAGCTTCCAGCCACAGAGGTTCATCACTTCAGAGCAATGGCGCTTCGATGGCGAGAGTCCAAATGTATCCAATCAGTACTTTGCGGCCTTATCAACTAGCCCCTGCTCTTTCTATCTGAGTGAGGAAATGTTCCAGTTGCTGATGTGAGCTCCAGTCGTCCGTGGCGTCTCGTGAAACCCTATCTGGCGCGCCATGATGGCATCCCGCTGTTTTTTCCTTCCAGTACAACTCCAGTTCCTTCCAGGAACTCTGTTACTGGCATTTTCGTCATTTTCGCATTAATTTTTGGCGGCAATTGTTCTTCTACGTCCTAGGCATGAAGCGAATTCTAGCTACCTACTTTTCGTTATCTGCCGCCGTTCTCCAACAGGCTGTGAGGCTGTTCACACTACGGACTACGACTAAGCCTATCTGTTGTAGCTTTTCAGCGGCTTTAATACCATCTGCGATAGCTTATTAAGTTTTGCGGAACTTTTCATCATGCTACACAGTACTTTTCCTTCCTCATGAGAGCTTGAAACCGACAACGACGGAGTTTTGTTTTACTTGGCATGGCGTTCAATAAATCTTGTTCCTTGTGTATTTGTGGATGGTGTTTTAAACTTTATTCAGTGAACTGTGACGATCACTTTAACTAGCCTTTGTTCCGTTTTCAGCCTATGGTTATTTGCTCAACATTGGCATGTCATTAAGCTTCATTTTTAAGAGAACGAAAGATCTTGAAGCTCGCTTAGAAAAGAGCGAAAGAGAAGCTGCTGTTTTGGCAGGCCACGGAAATCACCGGCAAAAGATTCACTATCTGAACAATCTTCAGGATGAAAAGTGGTTGTTGATACAAGAAAACGTCAAGCTGAAACAGGTTATATTTAGTTGCCTTTTAACGTTGCTTAATATTTGAAATTATTTGGTTTAGCAGCTGAACGATAAACAGTTTTCTGCTCATTCGAAACCGCAAATTTCAGCGTCTTCGTCCTCGGGTTAAAGTTTGGTTGGTAAGTTTTGATGCCGATTAGATCGTATGAGCGATTATCAGATATTGAGTGATCTTAGGTGGGAAATGTACAGATTTTGCGGCTTCTGCAAACATATGCACTGAGGTTTACCTAACTAACGGATTTGTCGTATGATATTCATCTCACTTCTTCCCCTCGTTTTCATCAACTCATGATCCTCAACTCCTATGGCTGATAGGCAGAGAAGCGTCAGCTTTTTCTGTGAATAAAATGTTTTGCCTCCCATAAACTACCTTGTGCCTTCCTTCTGTCTTAACCAATTCCAATGCTCAGTTGCTAAAAGAGCAGCGTGAATTTTTTTGGTCTTCAACAGATAGTTGATTCTGCCGCCGGTACCATTGTCATCTACCTCGCGCAACCTGTGGTCCAGCAACTAAAGCACACTTCCATTTCCACTTCAACTTGTTTGCGGTATAATGAGGATTTGTGTAAGATACCTTGCAGAAGTAAGATAAGATTTGTGTAAAACGCGGCAATATTTCTGCGTTTTCATTTGATCGAAGATGACCCATAGAAAAGATTCCGTATTCCATTCATCGCATTCTGTTGTCCTTTAAACGTCTTGAGCATTTAAATGTCATGCTCTGTACAACGAGAAGCAGCTACTAATCCAATTTTGCTTGTTGACAGACAGATCTCTCTCATGATTTACATTATGATTTGCACCTAAGTCTTCACTAGCGTCATTTTCTTGGTTACAGTTCCCATGCATATGTAGTTCCAGCAGTTTCGAAGATTACTGATCTCGTTTACAGTAAGATTCTTTATCGGTCATGACGACTGCTTGATATGCAGAGACCTTTGTATAAAATTTATTCGTTATTGATCTGTTTTTGTGCTAATGCATTGCCCTGTTTTAAGAGTGTAAACTTCTAAGATTTCAGATAGGTTTAGGTTGTTTCAACAATTTTGAGACAAATCTACTTTCGGAATAAGAATGGTTCTTCCTTGTCTTGCTGCATTGTTGACAATGCTACATAATTTGTCCTCGTTCAGCTCATGTTTCATCTTATGCTCCTGGTGTATTATGATGCTTACATGCAATATTTGTCCATTTTGATTTATTTCGACTCTCAATTAAAAAAGTTTTTCGAACAGGCCGTGCACCGTTTGTGTTTCGTGAGCTTCAATATCTATTACTGTCACGCAAAAAATAAAACCGAAAACTCTTCGCTGAATATGTACCTATTTACGTTGGAAGGCTATATGAGGAGGTAATTTTTGCGTGCATATGAGTGGTTGGAGATTTATGGTGACTTATGTGTATTTATTTTCCACTTAGGCGTTTCGATGTTGTTCTTTTGCACTATTTTTTGTCGCTTCATTTCCGTACCTTTCATTACTCGCATGTCTATGGTATCTGAATTCGTCTATTCGTCGATTTCTTTCAATGCTTCCCATTTGTTCAGTTCGTCTTAGAAGCGATAATGAATTAGGAGCTAAAGTTCGACCCGCAGAAGCTCTACATTATGTTGTCACTGTTTTTCTGCAGGACATTGAGTATCTCAACGACATTTGCATAGAAAAAAGCCACGTGACCGCGGTCTATCGTCCATTCGTTACTAAGGTGGCTTTGCTGTTTTTCCCATAATCATCATGCCTCGGTGCAAAAGTCACACCGATGTTTTAATTTGCTTAAGAAATACAGCATTTTAGCCTTCTATGAGATATAGAACATAACAGTAAAATGACTGTTCTTGAGGGTTCCTTAAATTAACGACTATAGACCATAAGTAATTTTAAACGTTTAATTCGCCATTTGAGCACAATCCTGTCTACTGTAGTAATTTATGAAAAATTATAAATTTTTTACGGCTGTACGATGTTATTTAGTGAACGAAAGAGGTTATGACGTTAAAATGAATTTTTTACGTGCTTTGTTAATTAGTCATCAAGCAACTGATGCTGATTATGCGTATGATATGTGATTCAGTATTCAAGCTGGATCATAGCTACAGTAATAATCTGATATATGCACTTTTTGCAATAATTTTTTGCTGCGCCATACGTACTTTGATTTAGGCATGTTCAGCTGGAATTCGTTCACTTCGTCTATATATTGATTCGCTAAGTTATTTTCCGATGTTGTTATGCTACATTTCTGTAGTTACCGTTTTCCTTCATTTTTGTGAATAAAAGTTTTGTGCCATACACAAAATAATATGCAATATTTTCTTTGCCTTTGTGTTATACACATTCAATCTGCCAAAAATAATGCAAAATATGCACAGAGTTAACGCGTTAGTTTAAAATTTTTGCATAACAACAGCATAAAAGTGTGAAATTGATGAGTAGACGATGGCATGCTTACAATCCTGATTTGAGCCCATATCGAGGTGAGTAAGTGTACGAACCCACAGTTTTTGCAATAATGAATTAGCTGTAAAGTGTCTGGATTGTGATGACGTTGGTACTGAACAAGTCATGGTTTTACACATTAAAAGCAAAAATCAACTGTACAGTCAATGTGAGTGCTGGTGATACTTTGTTAAATAAACCACTTGAAATGCAAAATAGGAATGCAATACCCAGCAAAATCTGATCATGAAAGCATCTGCAGGTACCATTTGAAAGAGATCCAATAGCTTAGCATCGAAATCGGTTTTTCCAAGTAGTCAATTCGACCGTTAACGACGAAAAATTGAATAATTTTATAGAACAGCTAAAGTGATTGTCACGAAAAAGTTTCCACAGAAACATTAACGAACTGACACCGCTGTGAAAGTGCAATCACCTAGATGTTATGGAGGACGCAACTATTTATGAAATAGAGTCGCAATTTATTAACGGGGACTTTCAGTTAGTCACAATGGAATAATATTCTTATGGACAAGAAAAACAGCTTCTTTCGTGAACGAGACAGAAGTGGATTTTAAAGCTGTACCGGCTAGCAATAAGGCGATTAGCCCTGCATCACAAACTCATTGCGTATCAGCAACGTGTCAAACTTACGATAGTGTTTATTTAACATTATTCGAGTTAGGGACATAACAACAATGTTATTTAGCGGGTGTACATACTTTACAATCTATTTACACAATGGTTGACCACGATTACTGGTTTTAAGTGCATCTAAGTATTGCTGATCATAGCAATATCTCAATATTTAAATTCCTGTTATAAGATAAGAGCTTTACTTGCAAATCATTCTTTTAATGGCGCGTAGTTCGTTCGGATATTCTCGTAATTGTTTCATTTTCACTTTTCCTTGACTTTTCTTAGCCCGTTGGAAGTAATGATCTAGAAGCAAGAGAGATCCTTTTTTAAATATTATTCTCCTGTCAGTAAATATTCCCTGCGATATTTTTGACATTGTTTTTTAATTCTATTAAATTTATGGCAGTAGTGTAAGGTCAATGAAGGCAGCGATGTAATAATTTCTCTACAATGGATTTAATATATTACCAAATCAGTTTTTCTCGCAGATGGTCAGTAATTCTCTGCCTGGGTGTCGGGCAAGTCCGAAAATCATTCATCATTCTTTTTCATCGTTATCAGAATGCCGAAAAATTGCATCATTTCATATCTTTGCTGATGAAATTGGTGCACCTTACGATTCTGCTAGATCTTCTGTATGCATGTGAGTTTTTCTCAAAAACCAGCGCACGGTGTTAACTTTAACTGGTTAATTGCCTACATTTAGTTTCAAACTGTTTTACATCGTTAGTTTATTAATAGAGTAAAATACATCATGGCTTTCAACGACATTTTGGAAACGCTATATTTCGACTCATTCTTCACTTTCTATTCATGGCTAACAAACTCAGATTGTCTTTAAAATTAAAAATTTTCGCAGCCGATTATGGCGTACAGCTGATGGGACGACAAATATTGGTGACTCAACCAGTCTTCGAACAGTATTGTAGCAGTGACAACTTGATGAAGTAAAAAAATTGGTTCAAACATTAGACAATCCTAAAGAAGGTGCAGGTTATATTTACCACGAAATTTTGGCACGTATACCTAAAGAAATTGCTTATAGTAGTAAATTTTCAAAGGAGGCAGTGGCGCAATGGTTTGATAGGCTGTCCTGCATGTTACGGTTCTGAATTCAAAGTCGATTCGCGGCGTAAAGTTTCTCCTATTAACTGTTAATTCATTTGATCAAGGAATTGGACCCATTGAGATTCGACACAACCAGTCAAGGAACAGATAGCAGCCTGGTGATTACCTAATAATAGAGAAAGCATTGTACTTCGGTGTGGTCATCGTCAAAGTTTGCAAGACATGTGGCAATGTTGTGTGAGGCGTGTGCCTTGCAGTCGCAATTTCTGTTGACCCGCCTGTTGGCTAAATTAATGTCAGCATGACGTGTAAAAGTAAGTTTAATTAAGTTTAAATCTGTATTGTCACGCTGATAAAGAAATGCCATGCTTAGATTCCGGAAGCTGTTTGCAGTAGGAATTGCTTACTTGCTGTTGCCATCTGCCCAATAATGAGTAGTAGAAATGAACTTGATGAGATTACAACGAGCATTTCTCGACTGTGCGTTGAGCATACAGTGGCTTCCTTGGATTCGATTGCAAGCTTATTTAGTCATGGCTTACCTTAGCGGCATCTGTGGTAATTTGAAGCATTATATAATGCGAAAGTCTTTAAGCGCCCTTGACCAGATAGCGCGATCATTTTTTTGGCGTTTATGATGAGGTTTATGGTTATATCCAATTTGTTGTTTATTTATAACATCGTACTCGCAATTTTAGAATGTCGTTAGAAGAAGAGAGCGAAGATTTGACAGCCGCTTTGCATGCTGCCAGTAAAAGACTTTTACATTCTAAGACTATAGCTATAACGTTTTGAATTTAGAGGAAGAGATCGCGGAATTAATGGAAACTGCGTGTCAGTTAGAATCGGAGATTGAAAGTATAAATTTCTTAAACATGTGTTTTTAGAAAAATTTTATTTTTGTATTGATCTGTTTTAATATTGCGTTTAAGCTTTGAACTCCTTTACAAGTTCATTCATCTTCCCCTTTTTTATTTTTTCTTGACGTGTTTCCTTTCAAGAGAAGTCTACTGTTCCAGTAAATTGGCTTCACTTTTTTGGTCCTTGGTTACTTTTCGCAATTTCGTATCGTATTGCGACATCACGCCAACGTTTTTTTTCATTTTCCCATTCTTTTCTTACCTGTCCATCAAGCATGTACCACATTACCAACGATCTCATCGAATTCTTTTTTTGAAAACCTACTTTGTCTATTCTGAAATTTTGTCTTTTCAAGTTTTACGTCTCATTTTGGAAGTAGTAGCTTAAACCGCTTTTTCAAAACTACACTTTGAATTCATGCCATCGATGTCATTTTTAAGACCATGGCTTTAGAGATCGCAAAATCTTATTTTTTTAAGTTCTTTTAACTCTCGTTGTCGAAGACACCAAAAGTTGGGACAGAAGAAAATTTTATTATTGGTCTAAGGTCACTATCTTGTAAAAGGTGGAGAGTTTTATCCATTTTTTTCTCTGCTAAACGCAACTATGGTTAACGTATTTTTCCTGTGGGGCTTCGATCATGTTGTTCGACCCAACGGAGTGATGAAGTTTAGCATACACGTATTATAGCTGCGGACACGGTATACAGTCGAGGTCTTCTTAATTAACCCTTGGTCAGTGAGAGCGATAGCGCGATGGAATTTGACAGTGAATATAGAAATAATAACCCGTATTTGTTAGTTAACACTTTTTTTTTATGTTGCACTTTCTTCTTATAAAGTCAAGTTTCAGGTGACTGTGAGCACACAACCGTAAGGCGCAAGAATGAAACATCATTGTCGTTAGTTTGACAATATCCTGGCATTCTAAATGATTCACAGCAGATGGTAAACCGTTTAATGCTATTGCATTTCACTTAATAGGTCGCAATATCATCAGAGCCAGACCGGGTACAATTGACTGTTTGAAGCCATTTATGTCCATCAAGCAAATAATACCAATTTTTTAATTGGATCATCACATACAGTCAAAACTTTGTTAAACTGTCTAAAAAAAATATAATGTTCACATGAAGATAAGTGGGATATTTGTCATTTTGACCCAATTTCGCATATCAGTTTTGTGATTGCCTCCCAGCTTTCTCTGATAATAACAGAAGATTTGTATTCGTTGCACATCCGGTTTTTCATTTCCCTTGTATTAGCAGACCTATTGTAGATTGGTGTTTATCTATAACAGAGACATTTATCTAACAGGAAGAATGCCCTTCATTAATCGCATGTTGGACAATACCGGATTTATCGTCCTGCCCAATGCGGACGACAGTAAGGTGCTCTTTTATTTGGATATTAAATTTCCGGTTAGTCTTTCCAATATGCACCTTTTTGCAGTCTTTGCACTGAACTTAGTAGACAACATCTAGCATTTTTCGGGATTAATAGTGGACATGTGCTTTTTATTTAAGATTTCGCTCAATGTTCTGTCAGTCTTGTAGTAGACCGTAAACCCCATGTCATTACAGTATCTCGTGATGCGTTAAGGTACCTGGGGTATGAACGATAAAATTACCATTGGTCCATATGAACTGATCAACTTTAAATCTGAACTGGGCTACTAAAGTTATCGCCAAGTATTCCGTAACCATTCTTTAGAAACGCT